ACCACAGAACTGGCATGGCATAGCATGGCACGGGGCTGCCACAGCACGGCACTGCATGGCATGCCAGTCCTGTGGCACAGGACTGGCATGCCACGGGGTCGGCATGGCACAGAACAGACTGGGACTGGCATAGTCTGTCTGGCTCGGTACAGCTCAGTGCAGCCCAGCATGGCACAGTCTGGCATGACATGGCACAGTATAGCACATCATGGGGTTGGCATGGCATGGGGCTGGCACGGCACAATATGAGGCTGGCACAGCACAGAACTGGCATGGCATAGCATGACACAGGGCTGGCACAGCGTGGGGCTGGCATGACATAGCATGACATGGGGCTGGCACATGGGGCGTGACACGACATGCAGCTGTCATGGCACAGGACTCTCATGGCACGGGGCTGGCCTGGGGCCGGCATGATACAGTGTGGCACAGGGCTGTCACAGCATGGCATGCAGCTGGCATGGCACAGGACTGGCCCAGTCTCCCTGCCTTGGTACAGCTCAGTACGGCCCAGCAAGGCACAGCCTGGCATGGCATGGCATGGTATGGTATAGCACATTATGGGGCTGGCACAGGGCTGGCACAATCTACCTGGTTCAGCACATCTCAGCATGGCAGACTCTGCCATGGCATGGCACAACAGAGCATGGGACAGCCCAGGACTGTCACAGTCTTCCTGGCTTGGTACAGCTCAGCATGACACCGCCTGGGGCTGGCACAGCAGGGCATTGGTGGGAGCTCAGTGTGGTCCAGCCCAGGTCTGTCCTGGTTGGCACAGCACAGCACAGTGTTTATGACCTGAGGCAGCACTGCCCAGTACAGTCCAGCATGGCATGGCACAGCCCAGTGTGGCATGGCATGGTAAAGCATGGCCCAGCCTGGCCAGCATGGCACAGCACAGTCCAGTCAGGCACGGCGTGGTCCAACATGGCACAGCTTAGTGTGGCATGGTACAACATGACCTGGCCTGGTTCAGCATGGTACGGCAGAGCCCAGTCCAGCCTAGTACAGCCCAGTCCTGCTGTCTGTTGTGGCCCAGCAAAGCCCAGCATGGCTCAGTTCAGCACAGCACGGCTTGGTGTGTACCCACACCCCAGTGGGCAGGACAGGGAGGGCACACAGGGAGGCAGGAGGTGCCAGGGGCCCTCTGTGCACCCATCCCAGCCGTGCCCACACTGTCCCAGCACAGAGACACTCCCACCACCAATGCCCTCCGGCCCCGAGCGAGCACCACACAAGGAGCCACTTTCTGTGGAAACAAGGGGACTCTGTGCATGGCCCTCGGTGCCACCCGGCTCCACCGTCCCGAAGTCACCCGCCCGTCACACGGCTGCTGGTGCCCCGGTGCCACCGTGCTCTCCCACCTCACTGGGGCTTTGTTTGTGGCGCAGGGAATGAGCTGTGCTGGGAACGAGCACAGCAGCCGGGTTTGGAAACACACCCCCCCCTCCCCCAAAAAAACCTGGACAACCCCAACCTTGGAGATTCGCCCAGTTACAGGCAGAAGATCAAAACCACGCTGTGAAGTTTGCAAAAAAACCAACCCAACCAAAAACCCCAAGACTCATCTTTTGCTTACCTTGCGCTTCTGGCCGTGCCGGGGCACGTGGTGCAGCTGGGACACGAGGTGCAGCCCCGGGGCAGGGCCGGCCCCATCCCGGCAGCCGTGCCGGCAAAAAAGCGGGATATTTTGCGTTGCTTTCTCTTTTGTTTCTGGTAAAAGTGAGGCAGGCTCTCACGTCTCACGCTCTGACCTGCCTGGGAACGGCCGCCCTCCAGCGCGGTCTGAGCAGAAGAGGAAATACCAGGCATGGGAAGCTGTGCTGAGCACCGGGGCTGCCACCACGCCTGAGAGGGGCACTCATTGGGTGCTGGGGGATTGGGCAGCCAGGAAGGGCAGGGAAGCTCTGAATCCGGAGTGGGACACCCCGGGTGGGCGATGCTGGGGTGGCTGCTGGCGGCACTGGTGGTGGGCGGTAAGTGTTGCTGCGGTGCTGGGAGATAAGAGATAACTTCAGAAGACTTTCAGTGAGTGATTCGGGGGTGATAAGGCCAAGGGAGGTGGTGCTGCGATGGAGATGCTCACCCAAAACCACAGTGACGGAGTAAAGGCGGTGAATCCCTGCTGGCAGCAGGCAGGACTGGGGTGAGCAGCACCAGTATCACTGGGGATGGGGGAAGTGGGGGGGTCTTGGTGAGAATCGCTCATGTGGCTGCTCCAATACCCCAGTCGAGCAGCATGGTGATCAGGCAACAGCTACAGCGCTGCTCCCTCAGTGCATGGGAAAGCGTACGGGATGCGGGAGCCCCCAGACACTGCCCTATACCACAGGCACCATCACAGCCCAGAACTTCTCCTGCTGGAAGAAATGCAACTCTCTCAACTCTTTCCACTGCTCCTGGTCACCTCTCGGCCCTGCTGGCAACACCTCCTACTCCCTGAATCTCTGGTGAGTTGGGCATTGTGGAGGGGGATGGGGAGCCCATGGGATATGTCCTGCCTCACCCGGATTTGACCTTGTGCCCACTCCCTCCCCAGCTGGCAGCACAAAGGGTGTAGCCATTTTGATGCACACAAGATGACAAACTACAAACTGCCACATCACAAGCTGTACATCTTAAACAATGTTGTGGCCTGGGTAGAGGCAAGCTGGGAAGGCCACGTCCACAGGACCCCCAATATCACATTTGTCTTCAACGAGGCCGGTAAGTGCCTGTGGGACCAGGCTGAACACCAGCACCAGGGCCAAAAACTGCCAAAACCACTCAAAACAACATCTTTGCAGAAAAACCAGATCCACCTCCCTCACGGGTGCCCTTCTCCAAGACTGACGGCCAGCTGAGGCTGCGGGTGCCACGGCCACAGTGCCCTGGCATGGACCAGCCAGCAGAGCGGGAGGCTCGATCCTGGAGAGCAGGAGACAGCGGCTGGACACAAGTAAAAAGGCTGTTTGCTGGAGCTGGGACAGCTGGGAGCACTGTGGCAGCCCGGGGAGTGTGGGGGCTCAGTGATGTCACTGTCCTCCCCCCCAAACCCAGCTGTGCCCCATCTGTTTCGCTGCCTTATCGGTTCTGCCTCATCTTCTGGCCATGGGATCCTGCTGCTTCCCATAACAGGATTAGGCCGTGATTCGAAGGGATTACACAGGCAAAATCCCAGATTATACTAATGACGACAACAGATGAAATCTGGAGGCTTGTCCCCAGTGAAGCCCCCACAGCTGGGGACCCCCTGCTCCTCTCAATTGCTGCCAGGAGGGTCCCAGGGTTGAAGAGGGGCTACCCCAACCAAGGAAATCCCTTGGGCCACCATGTCCCCTCTATTTGTTTCTCCCAGTGCCTGGGATGATTGCAGATCACACTGATGGCCCAGTAACATACTGGTTTTACTAGGAGGGTGTCTTCATTCCCAGTTTTCTCTACAGGTGGAATGTATGACCGTGATGGTGAAAGATGAAGATGACTCAGGTTGGTTGAGCCTATGGGGATGTTGGGGACAAGCATCTTCTGGGAGTATTCCCAGGTTCTGGCAGAATGCTCTGCCCCGTACTCCTCCCCAGCACCCACAACAGCCAAAAGATGGGAGAAGGAGGGGTCATCTCCCACCTGACCCTGCCACCCCTCTCTAGTGAACTGTACCCTGAAGGGGAATGGCACCTTTGTGGTCCAGCTACGGCAAAAGACCTGGAGCAGCTACTGGAGTGACTGGAGCAGTAACATCTCTGTTCCTGAGGGTAAGGAAGAGGAGGGGAGGCTGGTGAGATCCTACCAGCTCCCAAAAACATTGATCGCTCAGTCAGGCTTGTCCCTCCTGCAGAAATCCTGGAGAGCCCAGTGCTGAGCCACCAACTGGAAAAACTAGGAAGACATGGGCAGCGGGTGCTGAGGCTGAGCTGGCAGGTACAGCAGCATCTCTGGGGACCCTCCTGAGTGTCTCCCCCACCATTTCATCCCCCACACTGTCCACTCTCCCTCCCCAGCCAGTCCTCAAGGGACAAAGGGATGTCAACTACACACTGCACGCCCACATGCCAGCGTGTGGCTGTGCTGAGCTGGACGAGGAGGACGTTGTGGTGCTGGGGTGGGAGGTGAGGGAGTACAACCTCACCCTGTCTGGAGCTGAATACGAAATCCTGCTGAGGGCTGTCAATGCCGCTGGGCCAGGGCCGGCGTCACAGCTCCACGTGCCGGCAGAGCAGCATAGAGGTACCTATCCCACCGGAGGGCCGAGCTCCCCTGGCAGCCCCTCAGGGAGCTGTTATTTCCAGCTATCCCTCACATCCACCATTTCATCCCAGATCTCAGCTTCAAGGATGTCAGCGTGGCCGGTAGCACCGTGACGGCACAATGGGAAGCACCAGTCCCGGGCGAGGCCTATTGCTTCGAGCAGCAGGTCCTGGCAGAAGCCCCCCAACAGGGTGTCTGCGTCCAAGAGGAATTCCCTGCCAAGAGCATCCACGTGGAGAAAGGCAAGGGAGCACCCCAAGCCCCCCACTGGGGTCAGACTTGGGGTCAGAGCTTGGTGGGGGTCTAACCAGCACCCCCGGTTCCTGCCCAGGAGCACTGGGAGCGCCGGTGTGTCACCGCCTTGCTGTGCACGGCTGGGACCCGGAGCAGGGCTGGGCCACCTTCGCCCTGTGGCACCACTATGCCAATGACGGTATGTGTGGGAGCACAGCACCTCTATGCCTGGTTTAACTCCAGAAAGGGGTTCCTGAAACACTCCCCCCTTTTTTGGCACCACTACCTGTAGGCTCGCTGGCCGTGCCCATTGACATCAGCAGCGGAGATGCCGCCGTCGTCCTCCAGTGGAAACCATCCCCCCGCGCCGCCTGTCCTGGGGTGCTGGCCAAGTACCTCATCTGCCACATGGCCGAGAGGGACAACATGACCTGTGAGTAGGACTCCTCTAGCCCCGTGGGGCAGGAGGAGGGTGCTGCCCAGGCAGTTGCCAGACTGCTGCCCACTTGTTGTTTGCCCAGACAGTGAAGCTGATGCCACAGCAGTGAACTACACCCTCCAAAACCTCCAGCCCGGCACAGCCTACAGGGTGGGTGTTTGGGAAGTGACAAAGGACAGCGAGGGGACCTGCAGTGCTTGGAAGAAATTCCAGACCAAGGCGTTAGGTAACGGTTGGGATCCCATCCTCTCCCCACTCCCCATGGGGTGCTCGCCCTCACCCCAAAATGTCTCCTGTGTCCCATGTGGGGCGTTGGGGACAGGAATGCCACCACCCAGCCGTGCCTGTCCCCAGGTCCTCAGGGAGCAGTGTGGAGAGCCAACCTGAAGTACCTGGGCATCTCGCTCAGTGTCCCCGTCATGGCTGCCATCTACCACCTGACCAAAAAGAGGTGACAGCAGCACCCTTGCCCCCCACACAGCTCAGGCCACCCCCCATTGCCCAACCCCTCACTAACCACCCCCTCCCTTCCCAGGGCTCGCCACCTCCTCTTCCCACCTCTTCCTAAGCCCGTGGGCACCAATGCCATCCAGTTCTCTGCCGGCGAGAAGGGCCAGGTGAGATGCAAGGTGCTGCCCACAAACACCCGCACATGGTCCTGGCAAGGGACATTCCACCCCAAACCCACCCAACCCTTAGGGCCAGACCTGGATAGGCCTCCTGGAGCCCTCGGAGAGGTTCAACCCAGCTGAGCTGCTGCTGACGGAGCTGAATCCCAGCAAGGAGACAACTGACACCACCACACAGACTGATGTGCCACATCCCAGCGTGCCACAGCCCAATGTGTCACAGCCCAGCGTGCCACAGTCCAGTGTGCCACAGCCCAATGTGTCACAGCCCAGCGTGCCACAGTCCAGTGTGCCACAGCCCAATGTGCCACAGCCCAGTCTTGTGATGGAAAAGCCAGCGGAGGTGCTGGTGGTGTGTCCGCCAGGCTGTGATGAGGAGATGACCTTTGCCTACCGCAGGCAGGAGATGCTGAGCCCAGTGGGATTTCCACCGCCTGGCAGCACCAGTTGCACTGGGCACCCACCCAGCAAGGAGGAGGAGGAGGAGAAGGAGGAGGAGGGAAGGCAGGGGCTATGCCAGCCGCTGATCCCCATTGCCCTGCTCATCTCCAACAAATCCATCATCATCGGGGACCAGGAAGGATGGAATCCATCACAGGAGAAGTTGGTGCCATAGCCATCACCAGGCTGGAGCAGCAGGGATGGATGGCAGGAACAGGGTGTCCAATGGGGTGCTGAGTGTGTGGGATGCTGGGTGCCCACCCCATGGGATCATGGTCAAGCCAGCACTTTCAGGGGGTTTTCTGGTTTCCAGGACAAGGAAGGCGATGTCTCTGGATTCTGTGTTACACCATGCCAGGTTTTAGCCACACACTTCCCAGCCTCAATTTTTCACCAGGAATAAAAACCAAGGGATGGTGGCTCCTGAGTCTGTCCAGGGCTGAGGGTATTTCCTTGGCTGGATCAGGAGGAGAGACAGAACTTCATCCCTGCCAGCTTCCACCGCTGGGACCAGCATCCCCTCCATGGGATGGGACGCAAAGCACCAAACACCATCTACCTGCAAAAAAAAAAAAAAAAATCGGCAAAAAATAAAGAGAAAAAAAAAAAAGCAAACATTAAAAAATTAAGTAACTCCACAAAGCAGCAGGGCTGAGATGGTTTTTCCTCGCCTGACCCGGGCAGATTGCAGCAAGGATTTAGAGCCGAGGGCAATCCATGGCGCTGCAGAGGACACAGCCGGTCTGGGGTGATCCCTCGGCCCCCCCCAGCCCCTTCGTGTGGGGCCACGTTGCCGCCTTGGGCTTTATCTGGGGCAGAATTGGAGATGAGAAGCGATTTGTGGTTTTCTCTGCCTGGCGGCGTCTGCGCTGACTTGCTGAGAGAGCAAAAAATTTTAAAAAACTACAAACTACGTGGGGTTGGTAGCACGGGGAAGTCCAGGTAAGGCACCGCCGCGGTGTCTCAGCCACCAGCACACGGCTCGGCCTCCCCGCTGCTGCTTTTAGCTCGTGTTTTGCAAAGGATTTCACCAAAATCGCGCTCGCAGCACCAGCACCGCGGGCGGAAACGACGCCGATGCCTAGCGGAGACACCGCACCGGGAGCGCGGGGCTGCGGGGCGGCACGGTCACCTCGCAACCCCCGCCAGGGACGGGTGGGCTGGGATTTATGGCCAGTCCCAGCGCTCCAGAGGTGAAGTGGCTGCGATGGTGTTTCTCCCATGGCTGGGGGTCCCGTTCAGGACCCGCATCACTGTGCTACCGTCCTCGTGCCCACCAGCGTCCGGCATCTTCACCCAGCCCAGGACGTTCAGCTGCTGATGAAGCCACGAGGTGGCATCAGCCCCACGTCCCCACGGCGCTTCCCAACCTCTTGGCAGAGCAAATTCATCCTTCCCTCCCCGCCACGCATCACCTCACAGGCCCCCCGTGTCCTCTCTTGCGCACCCCAAATCCCTGGGGATCGGCTGGAGATCTGGCGTCCTGCCACGCAGAAACCCAGGCGCGGGGATCAGATTTAGGGATTTTGTTGGGATTTGGGCGATGCCAGGCTCACTGTCGGAGCACACCAGGCACACAGGGAGGAAGTATCCGGTTACAGGAGCGGGTGCACACTCGAGTTTCAGCCCCGGCCCCTGTTTACAGCCCGGGGTCAGAGCAATGAAGGAAACAGCTCTGGGGTCACGGCTCAGCACGGCTGGGTGGCAGCTGTAAACACATTGCCCGTCTCGGGGCCAGAGCCGACGCCAGTTAATCATTCCGGTTCACGGAATGAGTTCACAGCAGGACAGACAGTCCCAATTGCTGCATTAAAAACACCCTGGGGAGGGGGAACAGCAGACCCCCCAATGGTGGCACCCTCCAGGGATCCATCCCACCCATGGTGCCGCTCACACCCCCTCTGATGCCTTCAGGGTTGGCCCTGTGCATCTTTTCCCACACATGTCCCGAGCTGGCCAGTGCTCTGCCAGGAGCATGGTGCCCATGAACAACGTGCCGGGGAAAACTAATCAAGCCACAACCTGCCAATTAGTGCGAGCGAGTGGCTCGGGACTTTCTAATTAGTTTAAATTTCACAGGATTGTTTTCCAAATGAGTCCCCGGGAGCTGTGTTGAGCCTGGCGACCCAAGGGTAGCTGCCAGGCCAGACTTTGCAGCCAGGACATGACCTTCCCTGCTCCTCCATCCGGATCCAAATGGGTGCAGGACCCAGACATGCTACAGGGCATCGATTATGCCTGGTGAGAGCCACCACCACCCACAGCCTGAGGGTGGGCAACTCGTTACACCCAACAGCAGACTCCAGGATAAGCAGCCAAAAGCCATCACGGCAGGGAAAATAAAGGTCAGCCCAGCTGAGGGGTGTAATGGTGGGGGCACAAGGGGTTCAGCATCGATCCCAAAGTCACCTCAAGCTATGGGTTCCCCTATTCACACCCACTGGTGCCAGCACTGCCCACACACCACCAGTGACAGTGCTGTTTCCCTGGGCAAACATGGAGCATCCCTGCTTTAAAGGGGAAAAACCTCATCTTATTCCCTCCCTATTCCCACAGAGTCCCAGTCATGTGTCCCCAAAAGTAAATGGCACGAGGGACATGTGCAGGTGGATTTACCTGCAAGTGGAAAACTCAGCACCACATCCCAAGAAAGCAGGTGGGGCAGCCAGAGCTGCAGCAAGGTGGTGGGAGCCTGGGGATTTGCCTTGAGCTCCCTGATTTTCTAGAATCATAAAAGTTGGAAAAGCCCTCTAAGATTATCGAGTCCAATCATTAACCCAGCACACCAGCCAAGCCCACCACTAAACCACATTCCCAGGTGCCACATCCACATGGCTTTTAAATCCCTCCAGGGATGGGGACTCCACCACTGCCGTGGGCAGCCTGTTCTTGTGCCTGACCACCTTTGGGTGGAGAAATTTTTCCTGAAACCTCCCCTGCAGCAACTTGAAGCCATTTCCTCTTGATTTTGGGGGATGCAAGCTCAGATGGCACCAGAGGAAAAACATAAAACAGCTAGAGTGGTTCACTATGGTCCCATCAACATCAGCCCTTGGGACCTCTAAGCCCCCGGGGAAGGTGAGGTCCATCCCTGTGGGTCCAGGCTGATATTTTTCCCCCAGATTAAGATGTTTAGCTCCCAAATCGAGGAGTTTAACCTGTTTCTCATCCTTGGAGAAACAGCCCCACAGAGCCACAGCCTGGTTTTAGCATGGACGGCAAAGAAGAATGTTGCAACCCTGCAACCCCTTCCCTCGCTCGTTCATCCATTCCTTTCCCAGTCCCTTCCCTCACCCATTCATCCCTCTCCCACCCCTTTCCCCACACCCAGCACGCTTTCCTCCTGCCTGAGCCCCATCCCAGAGAAGAGCCAATGCCAATGGAATGTTTGAGCCCTGCTCGACCATCAGCTATGGCTAAGAGCAGGATTATTTGCCAGGCAAAAAGCCGTTGCTGTCACCACCTCCACAATGCCACCCGCTGCCAGGCAGATTAGGTGACTAAATCCCTAAGCAAACAAACTGATCCCTGGGATTTTTTTTAGGGTTTTTTATTTTTTAAGCAGAACTCAAAGGCTGTGTCTCGCCCCAGCGGTGAACAGCTCATTTTATCCACCCCCCCCCAGCACTGGCAAAACCTCGGTGGGCGGGATGCTCGGCAGATCCCTGGGGCAGTAAAATCTCAGCAGCTCCGGAATTTGGGCTTTTCCTCTCTAAAAAAAGCTTCTGGAATTCTTCTCACAGCAAAAAAACCTCCATGCATTGCTGGCACAGGCATCCTGCAGCAGGGAAGGGGCTGCGTGGCTCACAGCTGGACAGACAGACACATCTGGACAAAGAGCCTCCGGCCACAGCTGGGCTCAGCTTGTTTTGAAAGTCACGGGTATTTCAGCGCCGGCGTTTTGCAACCATTCGGTGTCACAACAACAACAACAACAACAACTCGGTTCTACTTCGCAAACAGGCCCCGCGGCCGCCCCGGTTCTTTCCTGCTCACGTCAGCCCGAATCTGCCTGCAACAGGCTCACCCGGGCCAGCACTGTTTCCAAACCCAAGGAGGGAAAACGACTTCAAGCAGCACCAAAACTGAATATTTAACAAACCGAGGAGGACTCGGAGCTGCCCCTGGGGCTGCACTGGGTGTTCAGCTCACTTCAAAATCCCGCTGGGATGCTGCCTGTCCCAGCACGTGAGCTGGAAGAAGACGGTGAAAACCATCTTCTACCCTCACAGGGACGCTCGGGCGATGGCAGGAAGCATTTTGTTTCTGCAGTTTTAACGTTTTCGGATGGCTGCTCTCAGGGCCGGCAGCCCCGGGGGCAGCTCAGATGCTGGCACGGCCAGAGCTTTCCAGGCTTTGGCAGCTGCAAAGCCGCAGCTATTGAATCGTGGTTGTTTTTCTTTTCAACGAAAACTTTATAATAATAGTAAAAGAAATCATAAATCCAGGGTGTAGGGAGGTGGGAGGCCGCCTCCGTGCGCTTCCCTGGGTATCGGGTGATCGGGAAGGGGAGGACGCAGCGCTCTTATCAGCACACGCGTTCCCTGCCCACTTGGCAGCAGAGCCGGCCGGAGGTTTGCAGCATAAACATATTTTGCTCAAGCAGGCGGCCAGAGTTGACCTAAGGACAACTCGATAAGAACCAGAGAACCCCCCAAAATCCCCTATTTACAGCACACCACCCCCTCCCGCATCCGTGCAGGCTCATCCCGGAGCAAGCAGCCTGCCCGGCTGTGCAGCGATAAACACAGGACCAAAAGCAACGCCCCCTCTCCCAGCTCCGCTCCCCCGATGTTTACCAGCTCTTCGCAGGCAGATCGACTCTCTCTCGTTTTTTCACAGACCAAACCGCCAGGAAAGCGGAGGGAACCGGCTCAGCCCCTCCCGGGACCGTTCGGCAGCACCCTCCCCACCAGCACTGCCCGCCACAGCCACCTCCAACCAGCTGGGACCTCCCGGGCTATCGCTGCCTCCATCGCCGGGCCGCAATGTGGTGACATTTACACAGCTGCTCAGCAGGAAAATGCCTCTCCCTGCTCCACACAAATGCCTGTATTAAAAAATAATGGGACGCAGGCTTGCTAATGTGGCTGCGAAAGGGCAGGGGGCATCCCTGCAAGCTGCCTTGAACTCAGAATATTCTGTGGTTCTGATTCTCCCCCCCAAAATTGAGCTTAATCTGAGGGGTTTTTTGTTGAAATCAGCTCAAAATTGCTGCTTATTGCAGA